CCCCATCTTCCTTTTTGAACCTTCTTGCAGGAAACTGGGTAGGTCAATGCCAAGAGCATGGGTGGGCTGCAGTTGCAGTAATGTGTCCGTGTTCTCTTGTGCCTGTAACAAATAACCCCAAACTGAACCATATAAATTCACCATCTTACACGTGTGGAGGCTAGAGGTCTGAAATGAATCTCTGGCTAAAATCAAGAGAATCGGGGCTGCATTCCATTCCGGGGACCCTGGGAAAGAATCTTGGTTCTCTGACTTTTCCAGCCTTTCTTGGCTGCCTTCAATCCTTGGCTCCAGGACCCTTTCATCCATCCCGAGCCGCTTCCTCCATCCTGAAAGCCAGGTATGGTGGGGTCTTTATCATCAGATCCCATCACTTTGACTTCTCTTCCACCTCCCTTCCAGTTTGAAAGACCCTTGTGACTACAGTAAGCCCACCTAGATAATGCCATCATCATCTCTTTTAAGGTCAGCTTTTCCATCTGCAACATTAATGCCCCTTTGCGAAGTAGTATATCATATGCACAAGTTTTCAGGGAGAGAGGACATTGTTCTGGATACCAAAGATGCAATGGTGCTGGATCTAAAATAGCTAGCTCTACCCCGAGTGCCCTGTGACCTTGGGCAAATTAATCAATCACCTGTTGTTTGGGTCTCTTCTGAAAACAAAACAAAACGCACACAGCGTGACAGTGGTTATCCCATAGACCGAGGGTAAAGAGTGAGGGAATTGACAACCACAAAACATCTGGGCAAGCGTTTGCCCACAGAAGGACAGCAACAGTGTTCACTTCCATCCTCCTCTCCAATGTCCACAGGGAGTGGGTGGAGCTGGGTTTGGATCCAGGTTCATTTCTGCCTCGTGGTCACCTCATTTACTTTACACTACCCTATCTGCTGCCTGAAGGTGCCACTGCTGAGGATGGGGAGGGAGAAAGCCTCCGATGCATAATGTGCTACACATGGCTAAGGCAAACGCTTGAGGGTTTTTATTGAACTGATGCTGATCCAGCATTGTTTCTAACTTGATTGCTGATTTATCATTCTCGAAGAGGATGGCAGCACTGAGCAATCATCAGTGTTGATCTATACAGCTGTGCTTAGCTTCCCAGATAAATTTAGCAGGGAAAAACTTGCTTTTCAGGACTCAGGGCTCACCTGTTTCTCTGAGCATATAATAGGAATATTCTCTGCCTTCAGTCTCTCTCTCTCTCTCTCTTTTAACAAAATACAGGAGTAAAGCAAAGCAGATCTTTGCCTCAAATGGCAATAAGTTGATCCAAACTCAAGGGAATACTAAGGACATAGGTGGTACAACACTAATAAGTAGACATTTAATCTAGAGCCACAGATGGGCCTGCAGACTCAAGAGCTTTGTATCACCTTTCTTAGAATTCAGAACCAAACAAAATAACAGAAATCTGCTTGTTAAGTTCAGCACACTCCTGAGTGAAAAAATGACTTTGCTACCAACTGCCCACCTCCTTTTCCTATCATTCTTCTGGAGAAAAGGGGAAGAAGAAATAAGGAGAGCCTCCACTAATGTAATTAACTTTTCATTCTTTCTCTCATTCTCTAGGCAGTGGTAACAACTTCAGCATCTAGAATGCCAATGATCTCCTAGAAGAATAACAAAGGAAATAGAGGAAAAGTAATTGACACTTAACCCACTATGCCACCAAGGCTTTTTGAGAAATGCCTATTTTCTATATTTAACCTCAGGCCTCGCCCACAAATGGCACCATCACTCCCATTTCGGAACAAGAATGTGTGCAGAGAAAGACTGATGCTCCTCACTGGGTAGTAACATGTCAACATGACAACATCATGACACTTCCAGGACTCCCTTTGGACACAGTGGTGGCACCGTGGTTATGAGCTGGCCTGCTCATCCACAGTTTGAAACCAACAGCCACTCTGCAGGAGAGAGACGAGGCTTTCTACGCCAGAGTTTCAATCTCAGAAACCCACGGGGGCAATCAGACTCTGCTCTTACAAGGTGTCCATGAGTCAATTCTGACTCAATGGCAGTGAGATGAAAAAGCAAGCCCCATCAAAACTTTGGCTTCCAAGAGGCTCTGCAGGGCCAATTAAATTCAAAGCCCAGATTTCAGTTCAGGAGGTTACCGCCATGACCGAAATTCCCTTCAAACTGCAGGCCAGCCCTCACACTCAAGCCAATGGGGAAATACCCTACCGTGATTCAGTCCTGTAATGTCGTGACTCTCCAGTGAGGGCAATTTTGCTTCCCCTCCTCCTGCCTGCCCAGGAAAATATCTGGTAGATAATGTTCATTGTTTTCCCAAAGTGATGGCTAGCCACTCAGCCATCTTGCCAGAAGTCCTTCATTTTCTCTCTTCAGATTTCCAAAATGTATGTGATTTATAATCACGGTGACGGCGAAGTGTGGAAAATAGGCACTGCTGTGGATCAGGGGTAGTCACACAAAGTGAAGTCTAGGGTAGTTGGCAACATCTATGGGAGTATAGAGTACATAATGCATCTTGAGAGCAATCTTGCAAGTCTACAAAAATGTTTTCATAAAAGCACACATTTATCTATGTACATGTTTGTGTGTGAGTGTGTGTGTGTTTATGGTATGCATGCTATGCAATCATTAAAATAGCAATTTTTATAATCTGACACAAAACACCACGGAAATGTATTACAAAATGGAAAATCAAACTGTAACATAGAATGTACACTATGATCCTCTGATTTTTATGAATGCATAGGAACAACATCTGTAAGAATCTGAAAGGAACACTCAGTCAGTTTCCTCTCTTTGCACTTTCGTTGTCTCCAGCATGGACGTGAACGGCCCAAACCCGAGAAAGAACGGACAAGAACATACTACAAGGAGCGTCGCGGCATCTCCTCTGCACTAGGACAAATGGCCGTGTACCGGGTGGACTGCACAGTCAACTGCCTCGAGAATGCAATGCCATCTAGAACTGAAGCACTAAGTAGTTTCCTTGGTCGGAAGGTCTGGCATTGGATAGCATGAATGTCTCCACAGAATATTTTGTAGTGGGACCAAGAAAAACAGTCAGGAGGCTGGGAGAAAAGGCCCATCTGGCCTTTTTTTCCCTTCTCATCTGTGACCCCACATCACCCTGGGATCATCTTCAGTGTTCTAGAACATCCTTGCCTCCTCCAGCTCTGAATACAAAGTGGGAGTAGAACGGTTTCTTTGTTTGAGGTCTCGCTTTAAACCAAACCCACTGCCATGGGGTAGAATGCCTACTTGTGCAGACTTAATAGGGCAGAGTAGAATTGTCGTTTCGAATTTCTGAGACTTCAAATCTTTATGGGAGCAAACAGCCTCATCTTTATCCTGAGGAGCAGGCTGATGCTTTTGAACTGCCAACCTTTCGGTAAGCAGTGCAGCCCTTAATCCACTGCACCAGGAATACTCCTCAATTTTAAAGACATACCTAAATGAGCATCTTAACAGGCTTTCCCTGATTCTACCGCTAGAAAATAAATAGAAGTTCTCTAATATAAAAAAAAAAACAACAGCTCTGAAGTTAAAGTATCCTGAATCATCTTCTGCGGGTCATCTTGGGCTCTCCAGCAAGAGGGATGCAGCGGAGTCCCAAGCCCAGGCCGAGGGTCTGGCAGGGAGGAGATGGGGAATAGATGCAGCTGGGCAAGGCAGAACCGGGCCGGGGCACCCTGTAGGTGCGCCAGGCCCGGCCATGTCTCAGAGGCTCGCAGAGTTCCACACCCCACAAGGAAAGGCAGATATCCCTGGAAAGTCTCCTGCCCTCTTCCAGGCTTCCCCTTCCCCTGTATCGACTCCTCCCTGAGAATCGTGCTCTGCTTCACTGACTCTGCCTTACCGAGCATGGCGTCCTGACCCCGAGATTGCTCCCTCCTGATAATAAGTCCAAAGGTGAGGTCAAGTCCGATCATCCTGGCTTCTAAGGACCACTCTTGGTTGTACTTCTCCTGAGAGAATTTTCTTATGGCAGTCCGGAATACAGTCAGTGTTCTTAACTAACACCACAATCACCGGCATCGATTCTTTTCCATCTTCTAATTCACAGCCTGACTTTCCTAGGCATGGGGCCAAGTAAAATCCCTTGGCTTGGGTCAGGCTCACCTTAGTCATCTTTAACACTTCAAGGGGTCCTTGGCAGCAGGTTTGCCCAAGGCAGGATGCCCTTTGATTGCGTGCTTGCTGCTTTCATGAGCATTGATCGTTGATCCAAGTGGAAGTCAAGTACAGTTTTGCTGAAGGTAATTCAAAAGCAATTGTAGGAGCACCCTGGCATAGGGCTGCCAGGTGTTTCAGCAAACAGATACCAACCCTGAGACTGCTTACTCACCCAGGCCCCGACGTATGTACTACGATATAATTTTTCCCAAGAGGTAGAGTGAGGTAAACTGAGGCACAGAGCGGCAGCCAGAATTGTTTTATCGAAGCATTTCTCTCTTAACAGAAATATATTTTAAAAGGGGAGAGGGTCCCCTCCCTCTGTGCTCTATGAAGGGGCTCTGGTGGCGCGATGCTGAAAGCGCTCCGCTGCCGACACACAGATTTCAGGTTCCAATCCACCAGTGAGCGGCTCAGGTTGCAAGCCCCAGCCCCCCTTGGGGTAGTTCTACTCCATCCGCTAGGTTCGCTAATGGGTCAGCAGCAACTCCACAGCAATGGGTTTGATTCGCTTTGGGCCCAAGCCCTCTGTGAATTCTAGGCCGTGAACCATCAGCTAGAAGCCGCCGAGGGGTCTGTGCTAAAGGCACGGCGGATGCGAACTGCATCTCGCAAACCCAGGGCTTCTTGCAACGCAGGCTGGAGCAGCAAATCCAACTCGGGTCCCAGCGCTTTAATATGTACGCGTCGGTAGGGGAACGAGGCCCAAGGAGCCTCCGTAATGCAATTACACCCGATCCCCAGGACGCTGCAAGTTCACAGGCTCCGCACTTGAATCTCGAAGGGCTTCCCCGCGCCGCCTGGCTCGCGCACTCAGCGGGCCGGGCGCCCGGCCGCTTACCTGCTCCGCCGGCCGCCCAGGCACAGCACCAGGACCAGCAGGGCCGTGGCCAGAGCCAGGCCCGGGAGGCTGAGCAGCCCGCGCCAAAGCAGCTCCGCGGAGAAGCCGTCCATCGCCGCGAATCGCCGGGTTCGCGCCCTCCGAGCGGCGCGCGCGCCCGCAGCCCCCGGGGTCTGGTCCTGCCGCGCCTACGACGCGGGTCCCGCCGCCGCCGCCGCGGAAGCCAGCGGGGTCGGTCCGGCAGCCGCTCGGGCAAAAGTTGGTGGACTGCCCTCCCCCGGCACCGCCCCCCTGGCGGCCGCCTGCCGCCGGGCCCTTTCTCAAAGAAGCCCTTCTTAGCCGGGGCAGAGATTGAGGCCACAGAAGGGGGAAGGGATTGAATTTCCCAAGAAGCCCTGAGTGCCTGGAGGAGGGGGTTGGGAGTTACAATGATGAGCTTTCGTTCCCCAGACCTTGGCCAGGGGTAGGGTGGGGGTGGGGGAGGGGGGGTGGAGTGACTCCACTTGTCCCTGAAAAGGGATGGGACCTTGTTGCATTGTGTGCGGCCTTCCGTTGTCTCTTAAATAAACCCCAGAGAACCGGATTGGGCAGAGGTACCTCGACATTCTACTTGCTCACATTAAAAACAACAACAACAGCAAAACAATGGGATGGGAAACTCCCTTCTGCGTCATAGCGACCCTATAGGACACAGTGGGGCTATTCTGGTGGGTTTTCCGGACTGTAAGACTCACCTTTCTCCCACCCTAGCTGCTGGTGGTTTCAAACTGCTGACCTTGTGGTTCGCAGCTCAACGTTTAAACCCACTACACCACCGGGCTCCATGCTTTCTTTAGAGGTCTGCTACACGTCTCTGGACGCGAAAGATCTGAAGCCACAGGTGTGTCCAATGCAATACGTTGTTTGATTCCTTAATTGCTCTTTGCATAGGTGTTGATTGTGGGGCCAATTGACCACGCTCATCTTTTCTCCGTTCATCATGATGCTGCTTCTCAGTCTGTTTGTGAACCTTTTCGTTTTCTTTATGCTACATTGTCATCTGGACCGGAAGCTATAGATGTCCAACAGCGCTTGAAGTCCTCTTAGTCCACAAACAGGGTCTACAGGAACACGAAGTGTCCCTTGGACTGTAACCAATGTTATTTATCCTCCACTGACCTGTAGTGTGGCTTTGGAGGGACTTGCGAGGAAATATAATTAATGATACTTATGTTTACCAACTTGCTGTGGTCTCTCACTGAACAAATTTCCAAAACTGTGTCCCAGAATCTGGCTGGTTTTTGTTGTGTTGTCTTGTTTTCTGTTCCCAACCCTGGTCTTGCCCTTCAAGGATGAGCAACAGAGGTGCTGAAAGGGAAAGAGGGAAACTTGACTTTTGTTTGACAAAGCGGGGAGCAGGCCAGGATTAGATTCGCCAGGCTAAGCGCCTGCAAAAGGCAGGATTGCAATTGTCTCCTTACATATCAATAAGTAAATCGAGGCGGTATGAGTAGGGAACAGATTTCTGAGGGATGATTTGGAATATGCATTGGTGTGTTATGATTCTTGAACTGGAAATGGCTTGTCTGGGCCATTTCACATGTCCAGGTTGGTGACTTTTTGTTCCTCCACCAAAATTCTTTTGTTTGGGGGCCAACTGTAGGTTGTGATTGACATTGCCACCCATGGTCACTGGGCCAGATGAGGTTAAAATGAATACTCAAATGCTGTGTAAGATCCTTTCCCAGAAGGAAAGGGCTGAAAAGAGACAGCATTTCAGGAAGGAAGGATCAGGGTAATCTTGGGTAACTCTGAGATATGTGTTTTAAAGTCTTGTGATAACCTCAGGACAGGCTCCGTGGAATCGATGGCTTACACAGGGCTAACCAGGTTGGGAAGTGGTCTCATTCCCAGAAGACAAACAATACCACATAGTCTACCCTTCTCTAAACTAAACAAAATGGGTCTCCATGCTTCGAGCTGGGCTTTGATCTTTCTAGTCCATCTTTGCTACTGTCACCTCCTAAAACCCAGACCTTTCCTGACTTTACCCTGTTGAAAACTTAGTGGCTTCCATCTGTCTTTAACAAAGTCTAAAACCCTTAACCTGGCATGAGTAAACCTCCACAATTTGTCTCCATTGTACAACTCCCACTGCTAAAACATCCCATTTCCTACTCTGTCTGAACATTTGCTGTCTAAGTCTGCTTTCTTATATAGCAGGCAGGAACTTCTATGAAATAACTTTATCTGTATCACTCCCCGAAAGGTGAGTTCACAGTGCCTGACTCTTGGCCAGGGCTCTACACTAAATTACTGTCTGTGGCCCCCAAAGTGTAAATTCTGGGATAAGAGCTCTGCATCTTTGATCTATTTCTAAGTCTCTCTCCTGCCTCTCCTTTCGTTCTCCCCATGAACATTCAATTTCCTGGGAAATCCAAAAGGGTGCACTGAGCCAACAACCCCTCTATCTCCTCCAGTGGGCAGCAAATTGAGTGGTTTCTATCACTGTCTGGTAAGCAGAGTCAATAGCCAGGTGACATTTGTTATTGATTGAATTGCACCCCTATGCCCACAAAGATATAGCACTCCCGCACAGAGAACTATGACCTTATTTGAATATACTTTAGTCTTTCTTTGTAGATGTTATCAGTTAATGAAGTCAGACCAAAATAGAGTGGAATCTAATCCAGCCTGAGTGTTGTTCTCCTAAAGTACAAGGGACACACAGAGAGATCCAGGGGAAAGATAGCTGTGTGAAGATGCATCTAAAAGCCAAGGAATGCTGAGAAACCCCAAAAGATACCAGAAATGGCCAGAGTCAAGGAAGCATCTGCCCCGTGAGCAGCCAGAGATGGCCTACTGGATTTGGACGTGAGTACTGTGCAACAAGGCATTTCCCCTCATTAGAGCCATGCTCTCTGTCATCCTTGTCCTTCCCTTCCCAGGAGAACTCACACGGTGCTCACACGGAGTCTGTCCTTGCCACGGCAGGCCATTCACTGATTTTCTAGGGGAGCCTCGACTCTCATAATTTTGTTGTTCATTGGCCTCCTGAAGGACTCTTGGTTTTTGGTATTTTTTTTTAAGTGGATAATATAAGTAAGGATTTACTCAGTTTCCTGAGAATTTGCTCTGGGCCAGACACTGTGCGGCAAAGACTGAAGGCTCCTTATCAGAATCCACTCGATGTCAAGGGAAGAGGAGGAAGGCCCCACTGTCGTGGACGGGAGTTGGTTAGACACTGTGTCGTGTTCCCATGGTGTCTGGGTAACACGTCCTCCGAGCACTGTAGGACAGAGCCTCCCTACATTGCTCAGAATAGAAGATGTCTCTCTTGCATCTCTCATTGCTAGTCATAGAGGCCTCCATTATAGAAAGTGACTTGGTTAAAATAAAATCTGAAGACCTCATTTACTTTTCTCTTGCTTGTATAATCCATGTCAGTATCATTCTATTTAAGCCGGTTCAATTCCTTTTTCCTCCCCACAATAGGCCTTTTATACATCTGGAGGAAGTAGAGAGTTGACCTTCAATATGCCCTCTCCTGTTCCAGCATAGTAACACAGCCTTAGGTTTGGGGGTTTTATTTTACCTTCTGCTTCCTTGTACTCATTGTTATTAGTGTGATTATTTTTTTAATAGTGGCATAAATCGACACCGCAAAGTATTCTCTAATCCAACAACTTCCACATGTATAATATCAGTACCATTGAGGATACTCTTCGTGTTGTGCAACCATTATTGATATTCTTTTCCAAATGATTCCACCACCATTAACAGAAACTCAATGCCCCCAAAGCAAACACTCTTCCTCCTTCGCCCACGGTAACCATTCCATTTTATTTTGTTTTGTTCTGAGCAGTTTTCTTGATAGACTATTCATATATCATATCTTTCCTTAGGTAAGTCACTTTTAGAAAGAGTTGCAGATCATCACAATCAGTTCTGTGCTCCCTCCCAGAACCTCAGGTTTGTAACTAAGCATAGTCGCTCGTCATAAAGACTACTTTCCCGTTTCCCCAGTAGGTAGATGGAGCCACGTGTTCTGACCCTAACTACATAAATGGTCTTTCTTCAGAATGAAGTTCTTAAAACACTTAAAACAGAAATTGCATTAAGAAATGGGTTGAAGTGTGTTTAAGAGAGGATTTCCAAACCATTTAACTAGTGTCAAAAATGGTCCAAATGAGGAAAAGGCTTCCAATGGTTCTTAGACCTCATCTTCTCGACATGGTCATGAAAAGGGGTGTAGAACAACAACCACCTCATTGCCTTAAAGAACAATGAAACCAATTACTGATTTGGTCTAAATCAGTGGTCTCAACCTTCCTGATGCTGCGACCCTTTAATACAGTTCCTCAGGTTGTGGTGACCCCCCCTAACCATAAAATTACTTTCATTGCTACTTCATAACTGTAATTTTGCTACTGTTATGAATTGTAATGTAAATATCTGACATGCAGGATGTATTTTCATTGTTACAAGTTGAACAATAATTAAACATAATTAAAGCATAGTGATTAATTACAAAACAATATGTAATTACCATATATACTCTTGTACAAGCCGAGTTTTTCAGCACATTTTTAATGCAGTTTTTATGGTAAAATTAGGTGCCTCGGCTAATATTCGGGTCGGCTTATACTCTAGTGTATAGGTATATATTGTGAAATATTTATGTGTTTTCCGGTGTTTTTAGGTGACCCCTGTGAAAGAGTTGTTCAACCCCCAAAGAGGTCATGACTCACAGGTTGAGAACCGCTGGTCTAAATGCAGCTAGTCTGACCCTTGAGTTTTTGTTCCTCAAAATTGACTGAACATAGATAATTCTTCCAAAGAGCACAATGTCCAAGAAAAAGCAGTCTTTGTGAAGTATTTACCCGGCTGTTGTGTCACTTAAAAGGGAATTTTCGGAACCAGTTTTCTAAAGGCTCAAAATCCATAAGACCATCACAGGGTGGGTCACCCCAACTCCACGGAACCCAGACGTCTGGATACCATGAGAATTGAAACTCCGCTTTTCAACACAAATGGACACGTTTCCCTCCACGTTTACTGGCTTGAATGTGGCCACTGTCATTGGAGCCTAACCGTGCATCTTGGAACACATGCCTCAGTATACCCTACATAG